ACCACACACTCATTCTTTGCATTTTCAGACTAGCAAACAACCACAGATGATTACTGACAGAACCTTGGTTTGCTTCCCAGTGGAAGGGAAAAGAACTTTTCAGGTGAGGATACTTTTACACCATTAACATTATTTAAACACTAGCAGGACGCACGGAAGGGTACTGGCTTCTGTTTATCACAGCTTCTCCCAAAATTCTCGAAGTGTGGCTGTCAAGAAGGAACACATGAAAAGACCTGTGAGCACACCCAAATGACAAGACTAGCCAGCGATCTTTCAGGAAAACACCTCAAAATCAATAGGACCTACTGACAAGTGTGCAATATTAAAATGTAAGTTTGGGGAATGTATACATAAGAAACCTATTTCTGAATATACTGTACTGTTTTAATTCTATTTTTAATTGCTTACTTCTTTGCACTTCATTTTCTGTCCAGTAAACTTTGTGTCTAACTTCAATTACCTAAAATATGTAGTAACATTTACATATTTAGTTTGCCAACAGGGAAGTCTTGCCACTGGACATTACTGGAAAATAAGAACAGATGATCAGTATGTAAAAGGGATGGGATCAATAAAACATAAATTAGGGAAGAGTTTAAATACATGAATATTATGCTAATTTAAATACAAGAGATGTTTTGATTCTAGAAAACACCTCATTTAAATACAAACTATTAAGTAATGATCCCCACTCATAACCCAGGTTGCCTATTTTATATCAACTTTAGATACATCTAGTTAACATTTAGTACCTAAGAACACACCCTGCAAAAAAGTACCACGAATACCAGAGATACCTCTCCAGTTTGATACCTGTTACTCAGCTTTGCTGCAGTGTGAGCACAAGATCCTGAAACGATGTCATTTTCCTAATGGATTTCTAACATAAGTAATGCTATTAAAAACATCTTTTCAGTAACCTATATTCTTCTAGAATAGAAGCTGATACATTTCAGTCTTACTACACAAGGCAATAAAGTGATTCAAACAAATCTCAGGAAAATTTGTTTTCAAAATATGGTAGGCAAGCAGCTTCCAAAGGGTTCCTTGCTTATAAACCAGTTATATTATTTTGTCAGCCCAACTTAGTGCTTTAGAAAGTTTCCTTAGGAGTTTATTTTGTGGCAATATCCAGTATAAATGAAGTGCAAATAAACTTTTGATGAGTTAGCATGATCTATTGAATCTTTGTTTGGTTATTTATTTCAACTGTGAATTTTGGGTGAAAATATGGGTCACTTACAAAACATTACAGTTATGCTTTTGAATAAAAAGCAGCTGTTCCCCTTCATTAATCAATACAAAGATAGTTTTCTTTCAGGAACAGAAGAGATACACATTATACAGTGTAGCTAGTGGTAAACCCCACAGCTATGTCACCAGCCAGCACAAGAGGATCTTGTCCAAGTTGTTTGTGGCCTATGCAGGCACACAGAGCCACCCTTCAAGTCCTAAGAAGCAGGTCTTTTCCTGACAATTCTCTAAAGAATTGGCCTTAAATTAAAGCCAAAAGAACAAAATGCTTTTTAGTGGGCACTCAAGTCTTTGTCGTTGACTTTGGGGAAATAAAATGCTTCTCAACTATTTATTACTTCACTTACAGATTTTTACTTTCAAGTGGAAGCAAGTTTGTTCTTTAAAGGGGAAAGATTCCAAAAAGACTTAAGATTTTTTTTTTCTGAAGCCTATTTTACAAACAGCAAGATATTTGGCTGTAATCTAAGAAGGTAAATTGTTGGGTTACCAGAAAATACTGAAATTACCAGTAGCATCAATCTGAACATACAACCACCATATGCATCACACAGCACCTTCAGGAAGGCAGCAAGCCCTGATCTGACTGTTGATAAGTTCTGCCTGAAATGTAACAGCTTGAGGAGCACTTGAGAAGTTTGTTTAATCTGCGCCAAACCCACTCCTGAGCTGTTTCCACCAGGACAGCCATGTGCAAAGCAACTCTGGACTCCATGCCAGAAAAGGAAACAAGTTACTTGAACACTGCCCCGTACCCTGACCCAAGTTATTTTCTAGTTCCACAGTTTCATCAACCCAGCTAAGGTGCAGGAACAAATGCAGAGTGTTACTCAACCTGAACTGAGGATAAGCACAAGCTGTTTTCATGCTAAAAATGTTAAGTTTTAGGAACATTAAACCAGTTAGGCTAGAAGGAACAAGTTAACCAGACAACACAAGAGGAGCAAACAGGGCTGCTCCTGCTTTGGTTTTAGAGAAGAGACCCACAAAGAAAGGGTGTGCTGCAGTGCCTGGGTTCAGCCCCAAAGTGGGTATCGGTGGCAGATACAGTCAGAACAGCATTTGCTTCTGATCAAAAAAAGCTAGCAGGCAACCCAGGAGAAGTCCCAGCACTGAAGGAAAATATACAAGGGCCAGCGCAACAGCCGAAAGTTCTGGGGTGGAGTTCTGCTCGGGGGCAAAACCATCTTTTCTGCAAAAAGCAGAATGCAGATGTACATTTACAAGTATGTTCCCAATGGAAAACAAACTTTGAAGCCAACAAGTCAAAAACATGTACATTACTTTTGAAGTTTTATAACTTCAAGTCCAAATGGACTTTATAACCAACTCCAAACTGACAATATAATGTCTCCAAAAGCAGCTCAGATAATCCTTACCATCTTAGACTAAGATTTAGAAAGCCTGAAAAAACTTATACAAGCCAGTTTCAATTCACAGATATCTCCAAGGATTCCTCAGACCATGGGCTAAATAAAAACACATTTCCTGCAAGGAAAAATTAAAAGAAAAATCATGATTTCTAAGAAAGATACTATAAAAACATAACACACAGTAACACACACACACAAAAAAAAAGCCTTCAGCATATCCCTAATGTCATCAGTTTGCAAGAGCCCAATGAACCTAAACTTAGTCTTAAACTCAACCAAGTCCTTTCAGTGACAAATGCCAAAGCTTCAATTAGTTCCACTACACTCTCATAGCCTGCTCACCTCAGGCTCTATAAGCAAGTAACAGCAAAAGGGTAAAAATCCCTAAAGAATCAAACCTGCAGTTCAGAAACACCAAAATGAAGACCCACCCTGACCAATCCCACCTCGTACTGATCTTAATACAGAACTGATGTACTGTCAGTCCCTCCTGTCACATTCACGTCAGCAGATACAAGACCTTAATAGATGGAAACAGAGTGAAATTTAAGAACCTTAACACTACTATTACCATTTCTTGCATGATTTAATTAAATCTTAGAACACTTACAAGCAGACTTGTTGTAACCAGATAAGGTAAGCAGATTGTCAGCAATAAAAGTAATATGCATTTGCCTTTAAATAGCAAGTTCTGCTCTCTATGAACAAGCATTTCTCTGTTGTCCTTGAGGCAAGACTTCCTTTCAATAAAAGAATGTTGGTTTTTAAACTGTAGGTTAGAATATTACTTTACATATCTTTTTCCTGGCAGCATCACTATTAAAGAGAGTTCCTATGAGCAGATTTCTCCCAGTTCTTGCCCTGGTGCCTGGCTGCTTGCTCTTGTCCCACAGTGCTGAAAACATCTTAGAGGATGTACATGGAAAAAGCAGATTAGAAAAAACTTCCTCATGCTACTGCTTTTCTGGCTTGGAGGGTTATTTTTAACCCAGGTCAGCTCACTATGACTCACAGCATCACCTCATTTACAGTTGTGCCTGCACATAAAAGGAAAGGATGACTGCAAAGGAAAATGGAACTGCTGTTCAGCCAGTGCTCCCCACCTCCCACCCCGGAGCAGACTCGATTCAGACATAGTTGTTTTTCTGTGGAGGGATATGCAACATGTTATCCCTATAGGAAAGTGGAGGAGGTTTGTAATTACCATTGTAATACCACACTTCTTGTTTGTTGGTTTGGGTTTTTTTTTTTACATTTTACTAGCTTTGGAGATAGATTTACTCACAATCTAACACTTTACAACACCCTCACAAAACAGATTTCCTTCCAAGGCATCCTAACTGACCATACCTTTAGCTACAGCTGAAGAAAACAACATGACAAGTACTTGCAGAAAAACTCAGATATTGCATCTCAGCAACAAGGTGACAACAGACAGCATGACAGAATAGCATCAAGCAGTATGTCACAGCACCCCACTCAGTAAACGGTACACACTGCACCAGAGTGTATCAGTGCAGGACTTTACACTGGCACAATTTTATGAAAGCAACATCCTTGCACTGGATTATTGTCACATGAGGAAGACTGGACTTGTGATGAAGGGCTGGATTTGACCTCCTCAAGTCCCAGGTTCAGTTGTGAGCCTCAAAGTCTGTTTTGCACTTCATGTGCAATGTTTTTCATTTTCCAGCTGCAACAGAGGAACATGACTTTTTGCTCTCCTCACCAGATTTCACAGGTGACTGGATACATCTCATCCACCATACATACACAGAACATCAACCACAATCTAACCCTCAGCTCTGCTGAAATCCCTCACAACTATAGCTAAGACACAAATAGTGTAAGCATCAGTCAAGAGTCTACCAAGAACACCCAGTCATGGTTCGCTGAGTGCTGTAATTACTACGATGGTTTTTGGAAACGCAGAGTACAACAGCTTAAACTTCACACTACGCTAGTAACAGCTCCAAGGCTTTTGGCCCATCTGGAGCATAAGAACAGTAAGCTTGAGCTCGCCTAAAAATGCCAGTGAAAGTGTAACTGTAAACCAGACATCCAGATCATCATCTTGGAAAGAGGCTCGGAGAAAGTTCCAAGCTGCAGAACACAGAGCAAACACAAAGTTCATTGTTACTCAGGGCCATGACTTCCTTTGCATTAGGAGAGCACCTACTAAACACCACACATGCTGATCTGCTGCTAGAAGTGCTGCATTACTGCTAAATCATGTAAAAGGTCTACAAGAAGGCTTACATTTGAGAGGGAAAGGGAGGGGAAAAAAAAAGTAATCAGGTTTTATATCCTGAAACCAAAGCAATATTTTGTAGTACTTTCCACATCATGGCATCTTCTCGCTTTACTCACACAAAGATGTCGTCTTTTGGCATGATGTGATTTAAACCTTCATCCGTTTGGAAGATTTTGTGGAACCGATGATTATACACGTCTGTCACCACCATCTAGAACAGCAAGTGATATTTGCAAAGAAATTATAATAAAAGCTTACGTAAGTTTAGACAAACTAACTTTAAATTGAAACATTTTATTCCTATTCTTTATCAGAATTTTCAGCACAGCAACATCAGCGCTGTTTTCTATAACAGCACCCAGCAGTTAATCAGCTGTATTTGTTAAGACAGATCAGAAAAACAAAGCAAATAGATTGGGTCCACAGAGGTACTGAGGAGGTGCAATTCCAACAGCTTTCTGCCCCTTCTCTTACACCTCTGTACTGCAATGGAAGTATCAGAGTAAGCACAGATTGTTTCATGCATCTTTTTTATTTCACAATCAAAGAAGAGCACTCAAACTTGTTAGGGTTTCATCACTATTCCATTAAGTTCAGCTTATCACTCATTTAAAAGCTAAGCCACCAAAATGCTTCAAAAACAAAAAAAATAAAAAAACAAAACCCCCCAAAAAAAAAATTTACTGTCTGCATTTATCCTTACATTTTCTGCCGGAACACCAGAGAGTCTGGAAAGTGATTCACACAGATCTGAGATGGCCCCCATCATTGGCACCACAACTCGGTACTAGAAACAAGGACAATATCATGCTTATACCAGGCAAAATAAACCTAGTCTCACAAACTGAGATTTTATAAAGCCACTTGATATCACATGTTCAATTCCCAGTTTTTACATTAAAAAAACCAACCCATCCTACCTCACCCAAAGGTGGACAATATCCTTTACGTCATTTGTAAAGTCCCAACTTTAAAGCCTAAGAGAAAGACTCAGATTACTTAAATTTTTGTCTTCAACATGCCTCACCTGGACAGGCCTACGCTGTGGGTCTGCATATACCAAGGTAACTTCCATGAGACGATCTCTCCTCAAGGGCAATGGAAGGGTTAAATAACAGAAGGGATCAAAGGTCACAGAAACTTTGGAGCATTTGGGACAAACAAGGGTAGATTTGAAAAGACCATGAAAGATATCCACAATGATAGAATCATTCCTCAGCCTATGATTCTCCCAGGCCTCTTTTGCCACTGCCTATAAAAAGGAATAAAAAAAAAAAACATACATTAAAAGCTACTTCTCACAAACACTCCCTTGTCATGGCAAGCACAGGGATCAAAGAAAACTCATAACATTGATACTGATGTCAATATTGTACCACAAGCACATCTTCCTGCACAACAGTACAAGAACACACATTCTGCTGTAAAGCTGAACAATGGCAATGTGCCATGAGGTGTCATTAAGAGTGAGCTAGGCCATAAAGCATGACAGGGATCTCCCCTCCCAGGTAGACTGCTTTGCAGGGACAATGTTTGTATGGCCGATGAGCAGGAAGGCCAGGACGTGTCACAAACCACAATTAAACTCCCTGAGAAGCACTACCTGCCCTACCCTTAAGTAAAGGGCACCATACCGAATCAGGTCTGCCATTGGCATCCTTCAGCTCCAAGTAGGGCTTCTTCTTCACTCTGTTCAAATCCTCATGCAAGCCATCTAGAAGAAAAGCCAAGAGCTCCTGGGAATCTTGCTGCTGGTATCCTGAAAACTGAGGAGCAAATCTGCCAACCTGCGTCTGAAACACAAAGGCAAGAGTCAGAGGGGTTGAGCATTACCTATGTATAAAAGACAAGAATAAAAACACCCACATCCTGCCTTTTGCAGCAATCAACTCCATGCTACTTTATGTTAGCAGCAGACCACAGTGTACTGGATTCTAATGCAGTAAGGGTGCCAGTATAATTTTCTCAACTGTTTTTATTTCCCCTCCTAGTGTCAACAGGGAAGAATGCATTCTGTGCTGTGATGCTAGAAATCTAAGTTATCAGTATTAACTCAGGAACCTCCAAAACAACCAGCACACAGAACCTATCTGCCTGACGTATGTTGTACTTTAATTTCTCTTTCAGAAGCTTACAGTTCCCACAGTGCAGATTTGCTATAAGACATTAACCTGAAGCAGGTGGACTGCAAGACTCAAAATGCTTGCAGAAGACATTTAGGAGCTAACAAAACTGGCTTAAAACTAAGATTGAAAATCTCACCACAGTAATCTCTAGCTACTCTAAAGATTGTGATATGAAGCTAAGAAGCATAACAGCCTGAGTTAGCGAGAGCCAAAAGCAGTACACCCTCACACACCTCTTATCTTGCAACAATGCCACTTAGTTTTCCTGGTTCTAAAACAACAGCAAGAAGGGATCCCAGAGAAAGACCAACAATTAATTGAAGAAGTGGTCAGTCCTATGACCATCACTAGTCTTCCCATAAACACAAGGAGTCCAACAGACTTGCAAAATTATGCTTAGCACATTTTGACCACTCAAGATGACAACTGCAAGAAGTCCAGATAGAAGTGCAGATAGTTAACACTGTCACTGAATTAGCAATAGAAAAATCACAACTGATACTGTATTAGGAAATAAAGAGTAATTCTTATTCCAGCCTTAAATAAGAACAGCCCACATTAAGACACTTTTATTGATGTCCACTCTAGATTCACATATTTCCTCTGAATGGAAGTTTACAGACCAACTTTCATAGTGGTGGATGATGTGCCAGCACTCCAAGTCACAGAAATTAAGCATCTTGTTGATTCACATCTACCTATGACTCCACAGAGGACAAATTTCTGCGGCCCATCAGACTTTTGCTCCAGGTCTCAAAAACATATACCCTCAACTGCAAGACTGTACCACACAAAACCTAAACAGTAACAGGACACACGTTTACATTAATATCAGATCATCGCTTATTTCACGCATTTGGGATCTTAATCTTCCACGGCATACCAACACTGCACTCAGAAGCAAACTCTTAGTGTTTCTTGGATGCTTTATTCACATTGTTCTGCACTGGAACATCTTTGCATTATATTTAAAAGACATAGTCACAATTTTTCTAGGGGTTCATATGCAACTGCTGTATTACAGGATTTCATCTGAAAGCAGCTCTTTACACTGAAACACTGGGAACATTACATCAATATATAACATTAAAGACAAGGGGATGCATTTTGCTCTCTACTTTCTAATTTCATTTTTTAAATTTGTAACTTATGTTTTCCCACTGATTAAAGTTCACAGCAGGCAATTCACATGACCTTGCCTAGTTTTGTGGCAAAGATCATTTTGATGCATCTGTAAAAAGCTGTAAAGCTGGAAGGTCATTTACCAAGTAAAGCATTTAACATTAAGGAGCAGTAACCAATTCTGGGGTATGACACTACCCACTAGCAAGTCCCTCCCTGTACCTTGAGAAGCATTTGCATAAAATGTGAAACAACAAATTCCGTCATTGCTGCTTTTCCTAACACTAACATATGTGGAAGGCATATCAGCTTCCACTGTTTTTTCCGTCAAAGAGCTTTGCTACAAGAACATGGAGTACTTACTTTAAACATACGTGGGGCCACGTGAGACTGTCTCCCAGACCACATCTGTTTAATGAGCTCTGCATAGGCTTCTGCAATTTCTCCTCTCATCCCCAGTGGATTGTTCTGATTTATTTCAGCTTCATATTTGTCTTCCAGGAAATAGTCAGTGAGAGGAGGGGTATTGCTCAGACACTGATAAAAGCATTACGAAAATTAATTTACTGCACAGGATAATAAATCTGTGTGACAATGAAATAACAAACCCAACTTTCACATTAGAACATGTACTAAGTTACTAACAAAACCCAGGAGACTGTGAGATGCTGTAACCATTGCAACTCAGAGGAGGCCTAAAAAACAGAAGCACCACCACCAGATACCAGAGTCTTCAAAAGACTGACAGCTCATTTCTGAAACATGGTTTCTCTCACAGATGCCACACTGACTTCTGCCCTATGCAGCATATTTGCCCCCAAGCGTAGGCTCCCCCTCTAGAGCAGTCTCTACTGGTTTATCCATCTTAAGGTATAGGCCCAGTGCTCTGCACCCACTTGGTTCTCTCTCAGAAATTTCTTTAAAACTGGCATCACATTTATCACCTTCTATTCCTTCAGTGCAGAATAATTTTAAGCATTCATTTAAAGTTACTGTATTTACTAGTTCAGGCAAGTAAATAGCAAACAACCTTCTGGAAAAAAAGAAAAACAACAACAAAAAAAAAAAAACAACAAACAAAAACCCACACACAAAAAAAAAAAACCCAGAACAACACACACCCCACCCCCCGCCAAAAAAAAAAACCACAAAACAACACCTCAAAAAAAAAGAAAAAAACAAACAACCCAACCACCACAACTGCAGACTTTTGGAAGGAAGATATCTGCTCCTGGCATTACCGTCCCTCCACATTTTGTTATTTTGTTCTGGAACTTCCACTGACACTTCAATTTGACTAGAGTCTCTTGGTATAATGCTAAGATCTGGCAAAAAGACAAGCCTACAAGTGCCAGAAGAGTAAAGATTACAACCATAGTCCTGCCTAGACTCACCTGTTCCTATAGTTAATGTATGCAGATCTGTTTTTCCACAGGTTACTGGGGTGGTAGGGTAGGCTACCTTACTAATGCATTACATATACATCTGCACAGAACAAGTATGGAAGGACTTTCAGAGAAGCCACCTTAATGTTCTCAAGCCAACATTCCATATTCAATCTCCAACCTTGAAATCTTAATATAAGGAACAGTGAGAAGAAAGGTCTTTGTTCCTCCTTGAAGCGAAACACAAGCTATGCTTTGTCCTACAAAGGACCAAACACCATTAAAAAATACCCATCAAAAAGTTTGCAGTTTAAAGGCAGGAAGGATACTACTCTGTATCTGCTCTCCTGGCAGTGTTCAAGGCCCCTGGCAGTGCCCAAGGCCAGGCTGGACGGAGTCTTGGGTGACACAGTTTAGTGTGTAGTGTCCCTGCCCATGGCAAGGGGGTTGGAACTAAGTGATCTTAAGGTCCTTTCCAATCCTAACTATTCTATGATTCTATGATTTACATACTTATTAGCAGTGTATTGTGGTAGTGATTTAATACATCCCAGGAAATCACCATAAACCTCAGGACACAAGTAAAACTAACACAGGAAGTAGTTTCCCTAATTCAGTAATTCAAAGACTCTACAGCAAGAAGTGACACTCAGATAAGTAAAGCAAGACTTGGATACGCGAACAAAAAGAGAGCTAATTCTGAAGTATGATCAAAATTACTGGGGCTTCAAGGCACTGTAGTATCAAGAAATATTAAACTGGGCTCTTTCTAAACACCTGGAATTTCAGGACCTGTAGCAGATGGCTGTACAGTGCTTCACCAAATAGGTGTAGGTACACAGCTCTCCCAGCAGTTACATATGGCAACCCAGAGAGAGTCAGGAGAGTCAGTAGTCCTGCCCTTTAGCCACCTCCACTGTCACTGCCTTGATGTGTAGCTTGTGGAATTTATTTCCTGTCAAATTCTTCCAGTTCCAATGTCCAGGTGCTAAGTATCTTTCTCTGGGCAGATGACATTAAAGTGCTTATACACTGCTATGGTTTGACCCCAGCCTCTCACCGGGAGACCGTTGCTAACAAAATTCCAAGAACCTCAAAAAACTAAGGCAGAAATTTGCATTTGAGAGACTGATCTCTAGAAAATTAAAGTCTAATGGTAAATACAAGAAAGAGTTTTTCACATGATTAGTTTGTATGCAAAAATAAAGATTAAAGTGTGTTTGGATCAAGTTACTTTGACAATAAAAAAATAATTCTAAAAGTTGTCTCTTAGCTATAAAGTTCAAGAGAACATAATGTGGTATAAGGTTACCATGATACAACTAAAAATAAAGTCATGCTGAACAAAAAAGTAAGGCAGCCCAAGTTTATTCTGGTATCCTGAATACCACATGCATAATGCATTACAGTTATTTTAAGACCTGCTCTAGCTTTCAAAGCTACCACAGAATGACAGAAGTCATTAACAGAAGTCATTACACAGCACTTGGACCACACTAAAGTTCATATAAGTTGGCTCATATTTTGTTTGAAATTCTTAGCAAACAACTATCCTTAACAAGTTTCTGCCTTTTTTTTTTTTTAAATGAACCAAATAAACCTAAGAGACTAAGTTAAATGAATACACCAGTAATTATTAGCTTTGCATAACTGATACAATCTTAACACCCACACAATGACCTTTTCACACTCTTCATTTTGAAGGAATCTCTAAACATGGACCCCAGAACTGCCTGCAGTGACCTGCTCATATCACTTGTGCGGCCCACACAAGTCACAACGTCAGCCCATCTTTGTCAGAGCACAGCACTGGAACTTTACGTTACAGCTGAGCGTCTGTTTAGTATGACTTCCCCCACAGCCTTCCAGAAGCCACGTATTTCAGATCCAGTCCTTTATACTGTACCATGTTTATAGTAGTAACATGCTAGCATAAGTCAAACTGAATATATATTGAATTTTTCATTTGGGGTTTGTTGGTTGGGTTTTTTTTCATTCCAGGTGCAGTCTCCTCATTGAATCACATAAAAATATCCTTTTCTTTCCACAGAGTTTAATCCACAATCTCTGCAAGACTGCTCTTTTATTTAATTCTAAGGAGGGCTCTTTCAAATTCTTACCTGTAATGCAGAATTCATGAAGCAGGTATTTCCAAGGTTACTGAGTCCACAGAGTCCAGGTTGTGACAGGGAAGCATTGTCCCTGCAGCTGTAAGAGTTACAGACAAATCCAGAACCTCTGCAAGAACGACAACACAGTGAACTCCACAGTGAGTTTACTGACTCTCAATACTGTTTAAGAGTCACACCAAATACAAGTCAAAAAGATGTTTAATGAAATTGTTTAACCAGCATGTTACATGGTTGTGCTGCTTCATAGTGGCTGATGATGAATACCAGGAATGTGGAGTATATGTGCTAACTTTAGAAACATTAATCATTACACAGTCTATCATTAATTTATGGCTCATAACACATTATTTTTCTCTGTCAGTAAGTACACAGCACTCTATCCTAATGCAGCAAGAGTCTATATGATATTACTGTAAGAGTTAATAAAAAAAAAAAAAATGATCTCTACCTGGAAAGGTTTCTATCACAATCATAGATGGAGAAAAGAATGTAATCCCTTCCCTGATATCCCAAATCCCGTCAGATCAGGAAATGCCCTAATAGTTAGTAAGCTCTGGAACATGCAGTACTTTTGCAAGTGAGCAAGGAACAGCAGAATGCAGGGGTTTCAAAAGCGAAGTTTGACAAACAGATAGACAAGAGTAGCAGAACTCCTCATCACACTCCTTTTCTATACAGGCAAGGATGCACAGGATTATTCACATGAAGGACGAAGAAACAAAAAGAACATTAAAAAAAAGCCCAGGTGGGAGTTGTTCAGTCCATAGGAGTTACTGCTATCACCGTTAGTAATGACAGAAGTGGCAGACACTGAGGAATAAGAACTTGCTGATGATTTTGAAGAGGTAGTAAAGTTTCTGCTAGTTGCAGTGCTTGATCTGGGAGAAAGGAAAAAGAAGTAGAAACAGTGCTACTACTTTTTTCACCCCCAGGCCCACCTCCCACAAAACTCCAAGGACTTGCCACATTACAGTCAGTTCCCACACAAAGAATTTACTGCTTTGATCTGTGCGATCACACTTCCAAACACGTGACTGGAACAGAAACGTCAGACAACAGTATCAAAAGCAGGAGTAGAAATCCTTGCTTGAAGCAAAATCTGGGTTCCAGAATGAAATAAGTAGGTAATTCAGACGGTGAGTAACAGAGAAGCAAGCTTCAAATTCATGTGTAAACCACCTTGAAACAAGCAAGCAAAAAATCCCAATCTTAAAATCACAAAACACTCACTCTGTGTTAAAAAGCAACAAAGCCAGTGCTTCCCTACCTGAAACTCAGACCACTCACTCAAACAGAACATTATTTAGCAAGAAGATAACCAGAGTGGACACAAATTAATTTGTTACTAAGCCTAGTTGATACAACTATATGGTAGCTGCAACTTAGAGGCAAGACACACCACTGAGTACACATGGTATGCAGAGCAATCCTCAGTGTTTTGAGACTAGAGATACTGGAATGGATTAAAAAAGTTAGTAAGCCTCAAGTCTACCCAGTTGTGGATCCTAGGTTATTTCACACTAGTAGCCTCCTGGTCTGAAAAAGAACCAGAACACAAAAGTTACCAGAAGACCAACAAGGCACTAAAATTCTATTACAGCGTTCTGTCATAGACAGCTTTGGCTCCATAAAAAAAAAAAAAAAAAAAAAAAAAAAAGGCAAAACCACAAGGCAGCATCAAATAAGCTTAAATAAACTGTTTTGATACTAGTTAATGTCTCTATAGCAAGAGCTAACTGGGACATGGTCTATTCTCTATCTTTGCTCAAATAAACATGCAAAACTAAATGCAAAAAGGTGCAAGACATCAACAGCCACAAAACGGTAAACGGTGGCCAACACACCCAATGCACAGCAGAGGACAGTGCACTCAAGCTTTAGCTTGTTGGTGTCTCTCTTTAACAGGAGCTTCCAGATGTAAATGCAAGCCCCAAACACAGTCTAAACCTGAAGCATGCTAAAGAAAAAACCACCGAACACCAGCCAGCATGACCAAAAAGTATACTGGTAAGTATACTAGAAAGAATGAGCAGATCTACTGGAATAACTAAGACAACCATTTCTAGGACAGTACATGACCTGGTCATTGCATGTTGGAGGTGGAAATTCTCAAGACTACCTGGACACAATGATAAGATAAAAGAGAGAACAAGAGAGTCTAGACTAAACAACAATTACCAGACTCACAGAATCACAGAATAGTTTGGGTTGG